AAACATAATATTCATGATTAATACTCAATGATCTCCAATCCATATTGATTCGTAAAATCCCAGGACCGACCTGTAAACCCTTTGCCTGTGATTCCTGAAGTCAGGAAGTTTGCAGATGCAGAACTAATTGAATTTGATCAGATAAAGGTGCTTGAATCGCAGAACGATAGCAAGAAAATGCATCTTTCTATTGATTTGTCTTCGCAAGGCTCCACGCAATATCATACAGCGTAACTACACTCTTAAAAATGATGGGTTAAAAATAACACAACTTGGGTTGTTTTATAACCCAACCGCTGGATCAATATTTCACCAGTCCAACAGTAGTTATTTTGACCCAGCAAGATGGGTTGGTGATTTTTAACCCAACATTATGAGTTAAATATTTTACCCAAATGCTGGGTCAAATTAAATACAATTCTGGGTTGATTAAACTACATATTTGTTATATTGTGTACCCAAATGCTGGGTCAAATTAATTACAATTCTGGGTTGATTTAACTACATATTTGTTATATAGTGTACCCAAATGCTGGGTCAAATTAATTACAATTCTGGGTTGATTCAACTACATATTTGTTATATAGTGTACACACATGCTGGGTCAAATTAATTACAATTCTGGGTTGATTCAACTACATATTTGTTATATAGTGTACCCAAATGCTGGGTGAAATTAACCCATGTGCCAGATGAATTCTAACACATTACAGTACAATTTAAGAAAATAAATTGCAATAGACTACCCATAGCTATAAAACTGTTAAACTACAAACCTATAACAGAATACATGCTAGATTTATGCATATATTATGCAATAAACACTTAAACAATACAAAAACAAAACAACAATGGAATCTTTGAAATTTTTTCTTTATTACATTAATTCATATCAACAATATAGCAGAACTAGTGCAGTTCATATCACTCAGGTAGGAAAACATTCAGAGCAAAACAACAATTCCGAATTAAATGGCTGAACATTCAACAGGCCAACAGTCTGCTATTAAGAGCCATTAGCTCTACTTGCAAGCAAGTATTCTACTTTGAATAAACTTTACCATTTTAGACTCTCCTCCTGGCATTTGTGGGGGTATGGTTTGCATGCCTTGGCCTCATGGAGGTACTCCACCATGTTTATTCCAGGCTAAAAAAGAGAAAATACAAGAGAGCAAGTGAGAGAGTGCGAGTGAGGACCAAATGTCTACCGACTACTATAGTAGAATTAAAATATAGACATTGTGAGGACCATTTTCCTGGTCCTCACTAGAGAAATTATTGTTTTATGATAAAGTCTAGTTAGCTTTACAATTTGGAAAAGATTCAGTGCATCTCTAATTCAAAAAGTTGAACTGTAATAGTCATTTCATTGCACATACCGAAATATTCCAAACCTTTTTGGATTAAGTCTTGATGGTTATGGCATAGTTCACATTACAGAAAACAATTTAAAAAAGGATTCAGACCTCAATTGACCTAAAAAGGCATAAATCGATTGATGGATCTATCATTACAATAAACATGCTAAGAAAATGCGTGCGGCCCACCTATCTGACTATCCTATCTGGCCGATAGGTAGCCGGGTTAGGTGGTCAGATAGGTGGCCCGCAAATGTTTTGTAGATTTAGAAGACTTCTTTAGAGTCAACCTCATAGAGTCAGGTCCAAATGGGTTAAAATACAAAAGTGTCAACCTTCTGATAAATATGTTAATTTCTGCACTCAATACTTTGTTGGTGCCTGTTTTAGAACAAATGACTGCATCAGTGCGGTGTGGTACAGAGGTAATCAGCATGTGGCACTGCTGAGGTGTTCTAGAAGCCCAGGATGCTTTGATAGTGACCAACATGTTGTAAGCTTGTAGAACGGCTATTTTACGAATACTGTCAGGCTATATTTGATGCCTATAGTATAGTAAAACAACCCTGGATATGCACGTGTGCGTGCACACATTCTTGAGCTCAGATATGTTGATAAAATGAATAAAGTTTCCCATTTAGATGTGCTTGAGGACTTACGGGCTTATGTTCGATGAAGGCCAAGCTGCATTCCTGAATGGTGTGGCGAACCACTTTCGCACCACGGCCAACTTTGTAAGTTGTAGGTGAAAGCAAGGCTGGCAGCTGCCTCTGGGCGAGTTCCCCAACCCCATCTGTAGGAAGACATAGGTGTCAATACGATGTGGAATGGCATACCTGTGATTCCACTACACTGGAAATGTGTTGACGCTGAGTTTACATGGTGTACTGCACGTAAATGCATAAAAAGACTCTTGATACCCCCTGAAATTTGCCTTTTGCACAGTATAAGCCATCTTCCCAATGAAACTATTAAATACTAAAATAATAACAGTGTGTGGAAAACTGAAGAATTGAGCCTCTGATGTGACGTCTACATTGATCTTACAAGTCCTCTAAATGTTTTGATGAACTTCAGCCTAGGGCCAGCTCTTGGGATCAACTGGTTGATGGTTCCTCATCATCTAAAATAATAAAACTCTCCTCATCAATCCCCTCATCTGAAAGACAAAAATAGAAAACACAAAGACATATTTGTTTTTACAACAGAGTACAAAACAAAAATGTATGGGTAATTAAATGTAAATTAAAAAGATATAGTAATAAACATGCATATTCCATCATTTGTTATTACAAAATAGAATGAAGCACTGAAAGCCTACAAAAGACATGTTGTCACGAACACACACACAGACAACGTAGATCCAATTGCAGGTATTTATTAAAAGGGGTAATCCGTACTCACATCCAGTCCAGGCAAGGGTCAAATTCCAACAAAGACAGTCCAAGAACATAAACAACAAAACACGAGAAAGAAGCAACAACAGGAACGGAAGTGTGGGGACATTAAACAAGGACTCCGTAACAAACACTGACACAGACAGGGAATAAATACACACAGAACTAACAAGGTGACGGGATACAGCTGAGTGTGATAATTAGATGAGTGACAGACTAGAATGCTGGGAAATGTAGTAAATGTGAATGACACCGTGAGAACGAGGACCTCTAGTGATAACCCAGGGAAACACAACCAGACACTGTGACACATGTGCCCTATTCATCTATTGGTCACTTTGACATTTCATGGAAGCTAGTGAAAAAAAATAGGAAATTATATTTCATAAGAATTAATGTCTGAAAAGGGCTTGAGTAGCAATGCAGACTTGATATGCTGTGGATGGGAAAACAAATATTTCTTACCTTTAAATCTTTCAACAAGGTCTGTCAGCTGCCACTCTGTCGAAGTGTTAATGATAAAGCTGTCAATTGATCTGAAACAAACACAAAAAGAGCTTATTTTAAACAGCCATTTTATTTAGCATCACAAAATATAGAGAAGACAATCCTCCCTCTCTCCCTATACAATTCATATGACAAATTGCATACATGTAAATTGTCTATGCTTCACAAGAATGTTTGTGGCTGCTCACGGCATAACCTTCAGGGCACGACTGTCAGTATAACAGTCTACAGCAGTGGTTGCTGTACACCTACAGCAGTCCCAAACTTTTTATTACATATTTCTCAACTGGCCCTTGTCGTTTGCCAGGCCGCCATTTTATATTTAAACATTTGTTCTTATCTATTGTGGGTCATCACATTAAGTTACTTAAATAAATGCACATAAATGCATTTAGTCAGACATATCAGGTTATCTCACTGTTTTTACATACTTTAATCAGTCTAACACTCTGTTTTGCCTTCGCATTTCACTTTAAATGCTTCAGGGAAAAAAGAGCGCGCTCAATTACTTATAGCCAGTGCTTCCATGATAACGGCTAAATGGCTAACGTTAGCTACGTTGTTAGACAAACCAACCAACTAGCCTCGACAATATAAAAATATTACCTTAATAAGTAACGCAATACAGACAATGTGAATTAGACATGTAGTGTACACAAACCTTAATTTATTTGCCTCGCTGGATGAACAGTCAGGTTCTCTGTGACGAGTGCTCGGTGTGTGGATTCAATGGACTCTGAGTCTGGTGACGATGTGATGACGTTCGAAGCACAAACAACCCACGTGCTGGGTCAACCGATGTATGTTGGGTAGATGGAATTTGGGTTATTTTGTGCAACTCATGTGTTGAGTCAAAATCCATATAAATAACCCATAATGGGTAAAACATTTCATAACCCAGCGGTTGGGTAGATTACATAACCCAGCATTTTTTAGAGTGTAGTGTAGTCTGATTCACAAAGCAAAAACAATTTTGTGCTGATTCTTTTTAGTGAATCCAAAACATAAAGTGCAACCGATGTAGCCCAAGAACAGATGTCTCAAGCATCATCAAATACTACGCTAAATGAACTCACACACACACACCACTCAGATTCAGTGAGTTCAAACTCTTTTTTTTTTTACTTAACTTGTTGCTATTTTTAGTGAATATAAGTAAATATTGAATTTGTTTTAATTCAATGAGGCAAATCGCATCAGATACGCATTGCGAGTGTTTGAGCTCTCTTCATTGAGGTATTATAGTTTGATTTACAGAGCACCGAAGAGAAAGACTCTGTTCAGTTAAGAAGATAGGTTATTATCAACTCAGAACATTAGCTTCTCTAATGCCTCCTCACAGCTCAGCCGCGAGATGTGTGCCACTGTGGAGATTATCTAGTCTTAGGCATATCTGTCCCCATAATGTGCGTTAGTAAGATATTTTGATTCTGGTACACCCTGTGCTAACCGAGCCTACATAAACAGGCCAGGCACAACCGCTGAATAATTGAACCAATTTCCAGGTCATGTTTGTCAAATACATATTTTAAGCCCCACCTTGATGGATTCTCTTTAAGGGATTTTATACTTTTGATGTGAAATCAAGGCAGTGAATTTTAATATCAAATGTAGGAAGTTGTACTGGTTTTTCAGTGGCTGATGGTCACAATGGTTACTCCATATTCGCTAAAAATATGTTTTTTGTTTTCTTGTTTTTCTATTAATTGATATCTGTATCTGTTTTTCATCTCCATAGGTGTATACTTGTTTGGCCTTTTCACCACAGACATCTTCGTGAATGCCGGTCAGGTGGTAACGGGGAACCTGGCCCCTCATTTCCTGACAGTATGTAAGCCCAACTTCACAGCTCTGGGTTGCCAGCAAGCTCTACGCTATATCAGTCATCAGGAAGCCTGCACCGGCAACGAGGATGACATCCTGCGTGCCCGCAAGACCTTCCCTTCCAAAGAGGCGGCGCTCAGCGTGTACGCTGCGCTCTATATGGCTGTGAGTATCTCTTAAATCCAACCTAGGCTCACTGGAAAAACTTGCCTGTTGTGGGTTAAAATGTTAAAACTTGCAAGTGAAATGTCCAGTAAGTGGTGCTAAAAGTACTTTCAGTTTTATCTGAAACGCATGAACTTGAATCTGACGACGTTTTATTTTTTTGGTTGTTGTATGTATCGTGGCAGTTCAGAAAAGAAATGTCCCGCTAGAAGGTTAATGCTCTATCGCGTTTGAAAATAACATACCACCTACACCAAACCCGACCTAAACCTAACCGACAGTGTTAAATGGTTTGTTCACCCAAAAATGTAAATTCTGTCATTACTCACCCTCATGCAGTTCCAAACCCGTAAGACTTTCTTTTTTACCTTATGAACACAATCTTTTTAATGAAATCTGAGAGCTTTCTGTCCCTTCATTGACAGCCTATGCAACTACCACTTTCAAGCCCCAGAAAGGTAGTACAGACATCATTAGAAAGTAATCCATGTGACTCCAGTGGTTTAACTTCAATTTTATTGAAGCGACGCAAGTTTGTGCAAAAAAACCCAAACACAATTTACCACTTTATTTACAAAATATTAATCTGGAGAGCACCACAACGTACTATGCGTGTTGTGTTGATGCGAGAGCAGACATTGTTGCTCGAGTTGGATTAAGATTTTGTAAATAAAGTGGTAAATTATGTTTTTGGTGCAAACAAAGCATTCACGTCGCTTCAGAAAATTGAGGTTAAACCACTGGATTTGTGGTAAGATGTCTTAACTACTTTCTGGGGCTTGAAAGTGGGGGGACAGAAAGCTCTCAGATTTCATGAAAAAGATCTTCATTTGTGTACCGAAGATGAACGAAAGTCTGACGGGTTTGGAAAGACATGAGGGTGAGTAATTAATGACAGAATTTTTGGGTGAATATTTTTTTAAAGAAATGATGCAGATGGTTTGTTGAATGCTCTTATTGGCATGGCAATTTTTAGCATTGATGGTTCATGCTGTGCTTTAGCTGTTAGACTGTTTCCATAGTATATTTTTCTTGGAAAAGTTGTCTTTAAATGCATCCCTTTTTAGAAGTACCGTATATACCCGAATATAAGACGAGGTTTTTGTACTAGGCTGAAAAATGGGGGGTCGTCTTATATTCAGGGTCATCTTATACTCGAGTGGAGGAATCGATTCATAGCTCTGGGTCTCTGCTCGCTTGTCTCCGTCCGCTCTGGCATCCTCTGTGAACGGCGCTTTTTCTTGCGCGGCTCGAGCAGAGGGAGAGAGAGAGAGCGGGAGCCGGATCGTCGTCGAAAACGGCCAGACGACCCCGCAGGGTGGTTAAATCCATCCCGTCACACTCAGGGCAGCCGCAGTCATGGCCAATCAGGAAGCGCATATGTGCCGGTCTCCCCCGACGAGCGGGCCTCTACACAAAGCACAGGTGATGCGAGGCATTTGGAACAACGCCTCGGAAATTTTCTCTTAAAATTATTTTCTGTTGAAAACCAGATTTTTTCCACAAAAATCCATTTTTTCCCAAAAATAAGTCTGGAAAATGGGGGGGGGGGGTACTATGCTATATACGGTACTATGCTGATGAACTTTTTTAGCCGTTGCATTGTCTTGCGTTGTTTTTTGAGTGTCCCACTCCAAACTTTGCATTTTAAGATGGAACGTCAAGTTAAAATAGTCCAATTTTTCCTCCATTAAAAACATCATGTTCGTTTATAACGTGTAACACGGACCCTGTAATGTCATCTGCGAGACCTTAGAAAGTCCAAGTGTGGGTATCTCCATGTCGGAGTAATGGGCATGAAAGATCTTTTCAATTGGTTCCGAAAGCTGCCTGTTAGGGTGTGGGGTTAGTTTATGTTGTAGCGTTATGTATTTTGGCATACCCCTACCTTTCGGCATGCCCATTACTCCGACCTGCAGCTATCCCTGTCCTAGAAAGTCATTAGCTTTGAAGTTCTTGAAGAATGTTCAAAAGCAAAGCACATCCTCTGCAGCTCTACACACTCACCTTCATTAATGAATGTGATGTAAAGTGACAACCGTCAATCTGCTTTTGCCTTTGAGCTCTTTTTTAAATACAGCGGTCATATGAAGGTGATTTGGCCTCTTCTTACAGCAAGCATCACTTGTTCATTGTATTGCATTCGGTGGGTTCGAATTTTTAATGGCCAGTGCGAATCATTGATATGTATATCTCTGCATCTTATAGTGAACGTCATGAAGCAGGCTTATCTTGAGTGTATCCAGGAGAGATGGCACAGCGCAGGACTGCGTTTGAAATGCAGATGCAAATTCACAGGAGCTTCATTTGGATTCTGTCCATAGCCTGATCGAGCACAGATATGGCAGAAAGCACTATAGCGTGAACACAGTCATTTGTAGCAAGGACTTTTTTTCGATGTAACAGGCAACAGAAGAAAGTGGTAACTCTTTTTCCATGAACGCTGTGGTCGCTGTCTGTCAGCAATCTGTCGGCAGGAAGATTTGCCATTGAGAAAGGAAATGAGAGTTGGATTGGTGTGAAAAGATTTAATGTCAATTTAAAGGTTTTGTCTGGACATTTCTTGTATGGGATCAATTGGTGACTCAATTGGTTTTGAATGAGGCTTTCTTTATACTGAACATAATTTGATTTATTTTAATGTGTCTTCACTTTGTGTATCATAAAAGAACCGAATTGAAATATGATCTTAATTTTTTTTTTAAACAGTTTTGTGGTTGGGATTTGGAAAAATCATTGTATACCAACTGAGGAAACAAAGTACTTGGTCTACACTAGTCTGATCTGACCATTCAGACTGAAACACATTCATATCAGGTTTTAAATCCGTTTAGGGTTGAAATCAGGTTTCAATCAGATTTTAAACCACATTTTGTGTTTTTTTTTTTTTTTTTTGCTATTTTTGCTATTCAGACTATGAGCAAAAAAATGGATAGATTTTAATCCAGTTTCAGTTTTGGACCTGAATTGGATTTTTTTTAAAATACTTTAAAACTTAACATTAGTTGTTGCCTTATATTAGGTATAATCAAATTGGAAATAATTTCAACTTAAATTATATTAAACTGAAAAATGTAATTTAATCTTTTGTAACTTCAAAAAAAAAAAAAAAAATTGCTTTATTTTAATGAGTTAAAATAATTATAATTATAAAATAATTTTAAACAAATCAAATTTTTGTCTTTTGTGTGTGCAAATGCCCACCAAAACTGAATCTCGCAAATCATTTTAGAAATGGGCTGCGAATCAAGCTCTAAACATCCACATTAATTAGATAACCTATGAGCTTTACTTATTCATTGCCATTTTAATCACCACTTTTATGGCCTCCCTTAATTTTTCAATTCATGGTCTAATTAGCCACAATGACCCGGTTAGGATACCAGACGTCCTGTACAGACGAGCAGACTATGAAGGACAGAATCCAAAAATCAAGTAATGAGTATCCGGCACCCTCCTTTTCATCAGTGATGCTCTGCAGATGTGCACCAGGCCCACAAGGAAATCTCAGTCCCTAGGGAGTGGGAATGTCTTATACCAGCTGTTAGTCGAGTCGAGCCCTGATGACTAGAACTCCAAGAGAATCACGGTGTCCCGGGAGGTTCGATTATTAATGTAGACACAAGAGGAGTCTGATTAGTGTCTGTAGGATGTGCTTCACTGTGTCAGAGAACTTTGAATTTTTGACATCCTGCAGGGTGTCTTTGAACGAACGTGCTTCTCCAATCAAATGAACAGATCAATCACATTTTGTATGTAGGACAGTAAGTGTAGAGCTGTTGTTTTAGCTTTTACTTTATGTTCTGCAGAACCAAGAGTTAACTAAATTCTTCCTCTTTAACATTGCGATTAATTAGAGACTAACAAATTGATAATGTAGATTAAATACTCCACAGTGAATATGCGACTGCTACTGCTTTTAAGGCTGATCTGATGTGTTTTGCATTGATAAAATAGTCACAATTGTAGATTTCCATACTTTGGTCGTGTGTAGGTATTTAACCGCTTTAAGCAGGTTTAAAGGAGAAGTTCATGTAGAATGCATTTTTGTAAAATGTGAAAAAAATGGATCTAAATGCTATTTATGAATAATATTTATTTTAGCACTGAAAAGTAGTGATTAAAAATATTTAAAGTAAAAATATATACCTAATTTGTACAAAATTTGGGGTCGATAAGATTTTTTAAATGTTTTGGAAGAAGTCTCATCTCACCAAGCCTGCATTTATTTCATTAAAATAATACTTAATACTTAAATAATACTTCACAATATTACTGTTTTACTATAATTTTTTAAAGTATTTACAATGTAATTTTATTCCTGTGATGCAAAGCTAAATTTTCAGCATCATTACTCCAGTCTTCAGTGTCACATGATCCTTCAAAAATCAATCTAATGTTCTGATTTGCTGCTCAAGAAACACTTGTAATCAATGCTGAAAACATATTTTTGTGGAAACCGTGATTCCTTTTTTGATTCATTGATGAATATAAAGGTCTAAAGAACAGCCAATCAAACTGGTCTCTTAAATAGGGAGTAGCTCACTAGGTATTTGACCGGAGCTGCAAAACACTTTTTTTGACTTTTGAAGAATGAGGTGGCAAAGAAGTCAGAAAAGTGAGTTTGACTTTGTCAAAGTCCCGTGGGATGAGATTGACTTTACTCCAAAAACTATTAAGGCAAACTGAGAGAGTTTGATAAAGTCATTGAACAAATACTCTTTTAATGTGACGTTCTCAGTCCTGAACATGATAGCTGTCACAAATACAGTCTTCAGATGATGTAAATGAAAGTTTATCACAGCTGATGGCCAGTCGTCCCGACGGAAAGGACACATAGTATCTCTCGGGGAAGAAGTTCACGGCTGTGCAACAGTGTGTAAAATTGATATTTTGACAACTTACTTTAAAACAGCTTTGAGGCAGTCCAGAGGCTCTGCCCTTGACCTGAGAGATGACGTTTTGTTGCATTCACAAAGACTACATGGTTTTTGACAGTAGCCCTGAAGGCAGATGACTGAGGACTCAACCGGCTTCTGAATCGCACATGCAAAATGTAGGACACGTGAAAAGTCAACATGCAACTACCCATTTTACTAGTTAAAAAAAAAAAAAGTTGTGATACACAATTTTTTTCTTAGAAATTAATACTTTTATTCAGCAAGGACGTATTAAATCCATCAAAAGTGCCATTTTTTGTACCAATTGAAAAAGTCTTTACTGTTTCAAAAATAAATGCTGTTCTTTTGAACTTTCTGTTTATTAAAGATACCTGAAAAAACATGATTTCCACAAAAATGTTAAGCAGTTCAACTGTTTTTAACATTGATAACGTTTCTTGAGCAGAAAATCAGCACATAGGAAGATTTCGGAAGGATCATGTGACTGAAGACTGGACTAATGACGCTTAAAAAATATTGCTTTCACTAAAAATGAAAATATATAAATTTGAATGCTAAAAGTGATTTTAGACATCACAACATTATAATGTAGACTATGAAAAATGTATATCTATTTTGAGATTTCCTAAAGATTACATTTTATATTGTAAATAAATAATATTAATTATAGTAATATTAATATTAGTTAGTGTTTTTGAAGATTGACTTTAAGTGAGTGTTAGATGATGCCAATAGACTTCACTGCTTAAATAACACTATAACTGAGCTTCATATTTCTGTTTTTAAAACCTCCATAATGCCCTGCCACATATTCGTCCATTGGACGTGCATTACAGTATTTTATATATGATTTGGGTTTTCATTAGACTGTCTGGTTTATATTCTCTAAAAACAGAGTCATACATATTGAGATTCGAGGACACTGAAAATGCCTGCTCACCTCAATTCCTCAGATGGAATAAAATTAGGTCACAATGACCATGACCTTTGAATACTAGAGAGACACTGAAAGAGTGAGACTTTGAGAGAGACGGCGCTGTATGTCTCAGACAAGGTAACAATTACTGTCTTTGTGTGGTGTTTCCTCAGGACTGATGGCTGATTATGACCTTCAGCGATAAAACACATGCATACTCCAGAATGAGTCGGCAGGACTGTCCCTCATTTATTCACATTTTCTCTTTTACTTTGCTATGACATGACTTTCAAAGTCACAAAAAAATCTCCCTCTGGATAGATAAGCTTGTTTTGGTCACTCTCTCTTTTCCTGACTGATCTAAATGTGCATTGGATAGCTGTTCACCGCCTCATGAGCCTTTAGAAAACATACACACTCATACACACACAGTGACACGCCATACAGACAAGAACTCAACCATTAATACACACCCTTATATTGAGGAAAATCTGACATGAGATATTTTTTGTGCGTGTGTGCACGGTGAACATTTGGGTGCTGTAACTCTGTCTGACGCACCCACCGTTAGCCTAGCTTAGCACAAAGACTGGAAGTAAATGGCTCCAGCTAGCATACTGCTCCCAATAAGTGACAAAATAACGCCAACATTTTCCTATACTCCATACTCCGCCCAAGTAGCAGTGCTTCGCCTTCTGAGAATATAGTTCCAGTATGTATACGGTTGGGTGCGTCAGACAGAGTTACAGCACGCACGGAGATGAAAAGGGTATGTATGGACTTATCTAACTCTGGGGGATACGGCGCTAAATATGTATATCCTTTAACATATTGTGCAGCTCTACCCTCAAATCTTTTTCTCACCCTGCAAAATGTACAAATTCCTTAGTTCATAGTAAGTTTTAGTAAATTTCCTTGTGTTTTTCTCTGGGTTTTCCATCTGATATGTCTATAAAACAGGGTGTGCATTACGGGGGGTCTTGGGGGACAGCCAAATGTCTTATATATCAAATGTTTCAACAACACAACAACATTTTCAAAAACGTTTCGGTAACCACAGAAGTCAGATAAGTTAGTCAGAGCACATATTTTCACCTAGTCACAAATAGATAGTCGCAAACAGAAGTCACATTCGCCTGAGGAAGTAACCATAACAACAGTTTCCGTCACTGTGTAAGGCTCTCTTTGCCCTATATGGCAATTTATATTTGTGTTTGTGCTTGCTCCATATGTCTCAAATATGATTTGTGTCTCCATATACCGACATAGTTCCGTTTGGTAGGAGGAAGGTTTACGCATGTGGCCTGAATAACCTGATGCATTTATATTGACATCTGCTTTTCAAATCACTAAGGTCATGTGGTTTGATTGCTGTGCATTTTGGAATACATTTATTTAAATGTTATGTTTTTATGATCGGTTAACTATCCAACCAGTAAAAAACACAAAGTGACCATCTGCACAGTAAATGCCTACTAATCGAGGGGTAGTGCTACAAAAAACTATTTGGGTTGCATGAGACAAAGGGACAAATGATTGCACATCAAAATCATATATTATTTTAATAGTATGTGTTACTTTGTTTTTCTCTGATTTCAGATGTACATTACATTTACTGTGAAAGCCAAAGGAACTCGTCTGGCTAAACCAGTCATGTCTTTGGGCCTGATGTGCCTGGCCTTTCTAACGGGTATTAACAGGGTGGCGGAGTATCGAAACCACTGGTCTGACGTCATCGCCGGGTTTATCATCGGTGTGGCCATCGCCACCTTTCTAGTAAGTTTTTCAAGTGTTTCATTTTCCTGGTGTGTATTTCTGTCAGGCTCTTTGCAAACATATAAACTGTTTGCTGACACAAAATGAAAGTTCTGTCATGATTTACTCACCCTCATGTCGTTCCAGACCTATATGATTTTCTTTCTTCTGTGGAACATAAAAATGAGATGTTTTGCAGAATGTCCCTGCTGAACTTTTCTTTACAATGAGAGTTAAAGGGGACGGGGACTGAAAAGCTCCTATGTATGTAGTCCATTAGGCTTGTGCACTGTATTTAGGGTTCCATTGAAAACCTGGAAGAAGTAATGATCAGGCCTATATTTTATTATTTATACAGTATAATAGTATGTATTATGGAAACTTGTTGCCGCCACGGAATAAAACCATTTTACGACTTTTTCACAATTCTGACTTTTTTCTCACAATTGTAGGTTTCCATCTCACAATTCTGACTTTTTTCTCACAATTGTAGGTTTCCATCTCACAATTCTGACTTTTTTTCTCAGAATCGCGAAATATAAACTCGCAATTGCGACTTTATATCACGCAATTCTGAATTCTGTAAACTCGCAATTGTAAGAAAAAAAGTCAGAATTGTGAGATAAAAAAGTCTCAATTACTTTTAGTATTTTTTTTTCTGTGGTGGAAACAAGCTTCCATAATTTATTCATAATTTTAATTGTGTTTTACATCATTTTTCATTTTAGTTTAAATGTTAGCAATTTTGTTAGCAATGTGCTTTTGTCCTTTTTCAACATTTCTATTAAGCTTTTTTTTGTTGTATTAATTGTAGTACTTCTACCGAAACTTATTTAAATGTTTTAAATATTTAAATAGTCGTAATAATAGTTTTAATATTTATCATTTACTTTATTTCAGCTTTATTTCAATTAATGATTTTTTTAATAGTTTGTTATAGTTAACAATAGCGACACGTATATATGTGTGTGTGTGTGTGTATAGCTAACATATTGTGAACAAAAAAAAGTAATCTGCTAGAAATTGCATTTTATGAATACAGTATATTTTTAATTTAGTAATCATAATTAAATAGAAAAGCCATAGAAACTCACTGTTCAAAATGTGTGGGAATCCTTCTCATGTAAGACTTGTAAAGCCATCCAGTAGTTTTATAACTAGCAAACTATGAGGGTGAGTAATTGATGACTGAATTTTCATTTTTTGGTAAACTAACACGAGTGACAAGCATGGAGTTGAGTGGCAGAAGTCCAGAGCAAATTACATATAGCTCATTTAGCAAGGATAACAGGATAGAGAAAGGATAATGTTGGCTGGTGGGAAGCTAAGTAGAAGAATCGCTCACATACTGACATTATAGAGGGCCAGCTAAGCTTATGCCAACATGCAGCCCTGTTGCAGACCCTCTGCTCTGGGCCTCTTTTTGCTTTAAAGCCAATTGTGTTGTGTAGAGCTGCCAAATGTAGGAAGATGGATTTCACCCTCGTTCCACCACCCACATCTGTGCACATCATGATACAGGCTTCCTCTCAGGACACGGGAGCTTAGAGCAAATGCTAACGTGTTTGTGTCCTCTTGAGTCCAACCCCTTAAAGATTCCATGGGTTTTAGAGCACTATAATCTAGCACAGTGACTCTTTTTTTGTTGCTAAACTGGTGTGTGGTGGGCGTTCTGGCGCAATATGGCTGCCGTCGCATCATCCAGGTGGATGCTGCACATTGGTGGTGGTTGAGGAGATCCCCCCCGCCCCCACTTCTGTGTAAAGCGCTTTGAGTGCAGAGAAAAGCACTATATAAATGTAACGAATTAAACTGCTAGTGCATATTTTGTTTCTCTAAAGACTTGGATCAAGTTATTTGGTCTAGAAAAAAATGCCATATTTTGGGATAAAAAGGTAGCCTGAAAGGAAGTCCATGAAATTTAACTTCACATGTGGAAAATTCAGCATGTAATGTACATCTGAATGGACCAATTCTTGGCAAATGCAAGTAGAATAACACCGGAACGGGATTTTTTTTTCATGCTAGCTGCTGATTAGGTTGACTTTCCACAGTTAATTGATTGAAGTTTCAAAAAAAAGTAAGAAAAAACGGATGTCTTGAGACGACAAATGTGTTTACACTGCCGTTCAAAAGTGTGGGGTCAGTCATTTTAATACTTTTATTCAGCAAGGATGCATAACATTGATCAAAAGTGACGGTAAAGGCATTTATAATGTTACAAAATAGTTATATTTTTTCAATAAATAATATTCTTTTGAACGTTCTATTCATTAAAGAATCCTGAAAAAAAATTACCACTGTTTGTGTTTACACAAAAATATTAAGCAGCACAACAATTTTTAATATTGATATTGATAATAATAAGAAATGTTTCTTGAGCACCAAATCAGCATAAGGATCATGTGGCACTAAAGACTGGAGTAATGGAATAATTTGTAATAATATTTCAAAATATAGCTGTTTTTGATTTATTTGATTTATTGGTAAGCATAAGAGACTTATATTTTTTTTTTAATCTTACCGACTAAACTTTTGAACCGTAGTGCACACAATTTTGATGCTCAGAACAAGTTGCTTAACAGATGTTGGAAGATGTTCACTAGTCTTGTAATACTTAATCTAGATAAACTCATAACCCTAAGTATGAGCAATAGTAGTAGTGATGTTTGTTGAAGACTAAAATTTTAATATAATTACATCACCGGTATTTAATATTATCTATCTGTATTATTATTCTTTATTAGTATTCCTAATCAGTTGTATTATTTTATGAACTTTAAAATGCATGAGATATACCTCATGATTGTCCATGCAATCTATAGTTTAAGCATGAGGTATACGTTCCATTTTAAACATAAGCAACATGTTTTGCTACCTTACAAGGAAGTTGTAAGTTCCAGAGTGGTGTATATAAGCTAAATCCTTACTTTACTGACCCAGAGAAACATAAAGGCATGATGGGGTGAGAGGAAGGAGAAATAGAGATGAGGGGGTGGGGGAGGATAAACACCAAGAAACCATTTACTGCTGGCATGATGGGGTGAGAAAATAGTGAAATGGGGAACAGAGAAATCTGGAATGAAGACCTCCTCACCTGTAGCCTTATTCTTCTATGCCTGTTTCTGATACATGTATAAAAATAATAAATAATAGATCTCTTGGCAAAGTAACTGATTCAACAATAATGGGGGAAAGAATGATTTTCAAATCTACATTTGTCTTCACTTCAGCAAGCTCTGCTAATGAGAAAGTCCACTGCTTGTGATTAATATTTAAGCATTCAAATGTGTCTTCTTTATGACAGCCTCCAGCTCAATGTGCAGATAAGGCCTGATTTAAGGTAATGTCCTGAAAGAAGAGATAAAAGCATCTCTCTGATCCCAAGCCCAGAAGCTATTAGCCACAGTGTCTGACAAACCTCACAGCCACAAAGGAACTTTTTAGAGAGCTATGATATACCATTAGCAAAGCTTTGGTGTCATTTCATGTGAAGATTTTGTCACAAAAAACTCTCTGTCGAAAGATTTCCCTCTTTAACGATCAGAGAGTGAATTAAATAGTTGAAAAACATTTCATAACCCCTGTCTAATTTCATTTCAGTCTCTGTCAAGATAAAGAAAAGTATTCCTGAGTGGTCTCACAGAGATTTCTCTTGTAATGATCTGTCAAACTGAGCTCTTTAATGATTATTTGATTGACTTCAGCTAATAATATGTCTGGGAATAGGCAGTGTCGGCGCTGAACAAACATTGTGGTAGAGTGCAGTTTTTGTATTGGAGGATTTTGATTCAGTGGCATGTCAGAAAGGAGAGAGTTGAGAGACTAAATAATTTGATTTATCACATCATTTTTAGTTGTGCTTGCTAATGCCTGGTGCACTGTACGATTTTGGTCTGTCCCAGACGAAAGATGTCTAATCGTGGCGATTTCTGTGGTCGTGGCTCCTAAACAGTGGTTCTATGTTTTACAGTGAGAGAGGTTCAAAGACGGCCGTTGTCACGGTCTTGCGACCAAAGATAGCCTGCGATACTTTTACGACAGTGTCAAAAATTTAGCATGATCATCTCACAATGTGTTTGCTGCTACGACCTACGTCAACTGACTAGCCAATAAAACTGCAACATGAAGTTATGTATTGATCAACGCAACATGGCGCATAAAACTTTTACCTCGCGTTACATTTGCTAAATTAGCATACCAAGTTGGCCTCTTTTCCCTAGCATTGACCGCGCCCATATTCTCCTCTTTCGCTTCCTAGTCCTTTTTCCAGCGCACATAAAAAACACAATTGCCAAAGCTGATGATGTTTTACTCTTCTATGCTAACTTGCGTCGTAGCCTACGATTCAATAGGTGTCATCATGGTACAGTCTACATACATGTCGTACCCAAGTTTGTAATCATTTTATAGGATTGAGGAGTGCCGAAATCATCTGTAGCAGGCATTAGGCAACTATGGATATTGCTTTGTGAATACAAAGAAACAAGAAAAATCTGTCATCATTTACTCACCTGTCATTATAAACCTGTATGATTTCTTTTCTTCTTCTACAGCCTGTCTTGAGGGTCAAACAGAAGTGTTTATCACTGCTGCAAGGCCACTATGGATCCTCTCCGGCAACTAAGATCGTGATTTATGAAAACATTTAGCTGCCGTTTTGTTGGGAGGAAATGCTCAAAGAATCATGTGATTATCTGACACGCTCCAATTATTGAAATTGCTTGTGCTAAGCTTTCTCGTTGCGTTAGCAGCTCACTCTACAAGATATCAGCCTCATTCATACCATGATGGGTTAGTGATTCAAACACGCTCTGTTTAGCTGGAGATCCTGAAGCTGCATTTGTGACAACAGAATATAAACTACCAACAGAATATGTGACCTACTTTGGCCCTTGGCTGCTGTGTTGGAGCTTTTTATTAATATCATCAACAGCTTTTGCACTGAAGTTGGAAAAGCAGATGCTCAGCAACATACACATTTAGATTAAAGAAATATATACACAGCAAGCTGTGCAAGCAAAACATACAGTGAGGGTTTATGTAAAGCTTCATTATAAAGCTCTTATGTGTCTGTCTGTCTGTTTGTCCTTCTATCTATCTATTAATCTTATCTATCTATCTAATTATAGATAGTGGGAAGAGAAGTTGCTATGTTCCTCTTTATGGGTCGAGGACTCTCACATGACTGCCAACTAAATTACTATTATTTCTTTCTTCTCACTGTGACACTAGATTGTCCCTGACTGTGCGCTACACAGTGGCTTTGTATTAAGTGTGTGTGCTTTAATGCGGTTTGCTCCATTGACAGTGCAGCTGTATTGTGTTGACGCTGTATTCAGAGCTTCAACACATTTAACAACGGCACGAATCCTTACATTCACCCCTACTTTCACCTTATTTATATTTTGCTTGTTACAAAAATATTTCATTGTACACAAGCACTCATGTAGCTTCTCTCTTCTACGGGTGTTTTACATTACTTCCTGCCAGAGGTGTTCCTTTCAAAGTTACATATTTTACACTGTTTACATAATTGTTTACGTAAAGTCTACTTAAAATCTCAGTTAATTTAGTTGCATTTTTTTATGTTTTCAGGTGGTGTGTGTGGTCCATAACTTCAAAGGCAAACATCTGCTGAATGATGATCCCCCACAGGACAACCTAAGTGACAATCCAATGGTCAGCTCGCCCAGGGTTGAGAGTCCGTTGGAGAAGTACATCGCCTCACAGGTACTGACAAAAGCACAGCTGAAATCTGTGGATGCTGTCAAATGAACTGACACACAGTACATGGCCTGTGTGCAGAGTGTTGAATCAGCTCTCAAGGGTCCCAATTGTGTCAGTTTGAGCACTCTTATCAACAAGATGTGTATCAATGCGCTCCTGTCCCTCAGGTGACAGAACTGAGAATGGATGATGAGGAGCCCCACACTCTGAAAGACCGTCTCCTGAGTTTCTTTAGCTGGATCACAGGCAAAAGCAGCCGCTTCAGACACCTGCAGAACACAAGGCAATAAACGTATGCGCACCTGTGTGAGGAGCTCAGGCTGCCAAACCTCTGGAGTACAACGACACGTCATTAAATCCCAGTTAAAACCCAATCATGTTCATTTCAAATGAACAAAACAATTACCTGTACTTAATAACAGTGTACCCAGAGCGTTGGCATCTCCGGCTGCATGTTTTCAAGTCCTTTGCAGTTCAGTCTTTGTGGTTGCATTTGATCTTGTTCTGAACTTAAATGTATATGTACACTCACCGGCCACTTTATTAGGTACCCCATGCTAGTAACGGGTTGGACCCCCTTTTGCCTTCAGAACTGCCTCAATTCTTCGTGGCATAGATTCAACAAGGTGCTGGAAGCATTCCTCAGGGAGTTTGGTCCATATTGACATGATGGCATCACACAGTTGCCGCAGATTTGTCGGCTGCACATCCATGATGCGAATCTCCCGTTCCACCACATCCCAAAGATGCTCTATTGGGTTGAGATCTGGTGACTGTGGAGGCCATTTTAGTACAGTGAACTCATTGTCATGTTCAAGAAACCAATTTGAAATGATTAGAGCTTTGTGACATGGTGGAAGTAGCCATCAGAGGATGGGTACATGGTGGCCATAAAGGGATGGACATGGTCAGAAACAATGCTCAGGTAGGCCGTGGCATTTAAACGATGCCCAATTGGCACTAAGGGGCCTAAAGTGTGCCAGGAAAACATCCCCCACACCATTACACCACCACCACCAGCCTGCACAGTGGTAACAAGGCATGATGGTTCCATGTTCTCATTCTGTTTACGCCAAATTCTGACTCTAACATCTGAATGTCTCAACAGAAATCGAGACTCATCAGACCAGGCAACATTTTTCCAGTCTTCAACTGTTCAATTTTGGTGAGCTCTTGCAAATTGTAGCCTCTTTTTCCTATTTGTAGTGGAGATGAGTGGTACCCGGTGGAGTCTTCTGCTGTTGTAGCCCATCCGCCTCAAGGTTGTGCGTGTTGTGGCTTCACAAATGCTTTGCTGCATACCTCGGTTGTAACGAGTGGTTATTTCAGTCACTGTTGCCCTTCTATCAGCTCGAACCAGTCTGGCCATTCTCCTCTGACCTCTGGCATCAACAAGGCATTTCCGCCCACAGAACTGCCGCTCACTGGATGTTTTTTCTTTTTCGGACCATTCTCTGTAAACCCTAGAGATGGTTGTGCGTGAAAATCCCAGTAGATTAGCAGTTTCTGAAATACTCAGACCAGCCCTTCTGGCACCAACAATCATGCCACGTTCAAAGTCACTCAAATCACCTTTCTTCCCCATACTGATGCTCGGTTTGAACTGCAGGAGATTGTCTTGACCATGTCTACATGCCTAAATGCACTGAGTTGCCGCCATGTGATTGGCTGCTTAGAAATTAAGTGTTAACGAGCAGTTGGACAGGTGTACCTAATAAAGTGGCCGGTGAGTGTATATATATATATATTGTATATGTAGGATTAAGTGATGTAGAATATGGTCATGCAGAATAAGGCTTTAATATATGCTTAAAAAGTACTAATAAACGGCCAATATGCTAGTAATTTGCAAGCTAATAAGCAACTAGTTAATAGTGAGAATTGTTCCCTAAACTAAACTGGTACCCTTATTTTTAATATTAATAAAATATGAAAGGTATGATGCAATAATTATATATTTTTAATTATTGTCATATTTTTAAAATATTATTTATATGAAAAACCCATTGATTAGCCGAAATATATAATCTTAATAGATCATTTTGTTAAAGGATAAGGGCCTTTATTGAGGTTTTTTGTTTGTACACTGGGAAAATTCAATTGATACTCACCGCGAGACTTACATTTTTTTTGCAATATACCTGAGAGTCATGTCATTTGAAGCTTTTTCTAATCTAATAAGGATTCCTCGCACGCACATTTGCTTCCAGTTCGTTTTCTTTCATAGCCGGTGCTCCGAAATCCCTTTAAAAACTTGATCTGAAACCTGGTGTTGGTGTTTGAGTTGAGTGACCTAAAAACTCTTAGCAATTCCGCACCTCGAATAGAAATCGAAACGCACTACTAAGCCCTCAAAGACTTGAAAAACCTCCATTCCTGAGTCTGCATTTAGCACCCTAGAAGCCGTTATCCCCCATGGCAGAGTCAGACTTCGTGTTCAGCTTTTAATTAAGCCACAGGCCACCTCTGAGATCCGAAAGACTGTAATTAAACTGCAACTATGGCTCTTTAAACGTTTCTTTATGCATCTTGCACGTAAGCAAATGAGAGAGTAATTTAATCCCAGATTGCTGTTTTGATTTCTCTCGGCAGAATATGAGGGATTAAATGTTGTTCTTCTTTGCTTATTCAGCTGCAACGAACCATTTGGGAACAATGTCGGTTCACAAATGGTTTATTGAAATGCAGAGAATGAATGTGTAGGATATTGAGGGCACTTTCCTCCAATAAAAATGCTAATCTTCTGTTTCTTCTTTAGTCAAGGGTGCCAATTGAAAATAATTATTTGTGATATCAGTTGATCCATGTAGATAAGGTTTGGATGCAATAATGCCCCGTGAGGTTTCTGGGATGGATGGAAAACAGACAATTCCACTTTGCTTTCTGCTGAAATATCCCCCAGACAGATTGCTGTCAGAAACCATAATACTGTTGAAAGTGGGAGGACAAGGCGAGGGAAAATCCACATCTCTGTTTTGTCTCTTCAAATCACAGAGACTTCAGGATCACGGCAAATATGACTGGAAGCTAGAAATAATTTGCTTGGGAAAATCCGCCCCGGATTTTTTGCCGAGGTCACAGTGTATATATCAGCGATATGACCTGCGGAGCGCTTTTCTGTGATCGCTCTTCATGTTTTCTGAATCTCTGATGAACTCTCCATTTCCAGCTGTATTATTTATACATTTTCTAACTCGGTGTGTAGTTTTTCAGCACTGTGTGCTGTTAGCTATCACTCTAAATTCAGCTACAGTACAACTCCAGCAGAATCCCTTTCAACACCTATTTATATGTATACCTGCGTGACTCATGTAAGAAACAGAACATTTCGTTTCAGAATAGAGTTTAAACTGGAGTCATACGCCCCATCAGTTCTGACTGAAACTATCTATCTTCTGGTTCTCAGGACTCATTTTCTTTCAGATTGGGCCCACAAACTGGTAGCATAAGGTTAAAAGCAGAATCATTAGTGTTTGTTGTTACCTTGTCCCTGTCCCTTAGCCTGGGAAAACCCAGACAACTTCCGGCAAATTTAGATTTGCTCTGAAAGTTAGTCTGGCAAAGAGCTCATTCAAGCCCATTTCCAATCCGTCGAAATCGAGGCACCAATCAGAAACGTTGGGGCGGGCTTTACACGATGACGACAGCACTGGGATTTTGAAGCAGATTTTGTAGCCCACATTACAAAGATGGATGCCGCCGTCGAACATCACTCGTTCGAATCAGCTATCGCATCTGTTTTAAGCGATTTGAACGTTTCCTTTTTGTTAAAAACCGAGCAAAGAACAACACTCGGAGATGTTTCTCCGCCACTCTGCATACGTCATCTCCTTCATCGCTCTGATTGGTTTAGGTCTATGCGCGACGTCCGTTGGTGACGCCCCTCTGGAAATGATTTGTCTATGATGCTTTGCCAGACCATAACTCAGTTAACAACTGAGAATGGTCTGGTTTTAACCAGGCTATCTATCCCTGATATATAGCATTACAACCTGGAACACACGGGTGCTCATATCAGACATTTTGTACTTGGTTGACTACATTTGGTTTGGACCTAAGTTTGGCTTGTTTTGTTTGTGTGAAACCTGATTACTGAATTTTGATGCACAACAAGGAACCGTACACGGGTCTGCTTGAAAACCAGGTTTATATTTTTTAGTATAATGCGATTGCTGTATCAACATAATTTGTCTTTAGTAAAATATCTATGTGCGTGTTAAAACCAAAGAAAAATACACTAGCATTCAAAAGTTTGGGGTCAGGAACATTTTTGGTAACACTTTAGTTTGATGGTCCACTTTAGAATTTCTACTAACTATAAGTAACTTTGCAACTACATGTTAACTAGCAGTCATTAGAGTAGGCTATTAGTAGACTGTCTGCTTATATCTGGTAACACTTTATTTTGATGATCCCTCAACAGACATTTTACTGTTGACAGTAACTTTGCAACTACATGCATATCAGCATATTAGAAAGATTTTTGAAGGATGATGTGACACTGAAGACTGGAGTAATGATGCTGAAAGTACAGATTTTTATTTTTGATCAGATAAATGCAGCCTTAGTGAGCATAAGAAACGATTTTCAAAAACTTTATATTTTACCGACCCCAAACATTTGAACATGAGTGCAATTTTTTTTTAAAGTAACGTGAACACTTTCTATTTGTCTTCTCTTTCAATATTTTTTTCTTGTTTTCCAGTAAAAATGTCTAAACATCCTTACGAAGTGAAATTGCTTCTCCAAAAGTTTAGAACTTATACAATTAGTTTATTAATAATATTTATGAATATACATGAACATTTTTATTTTAGTTTATTTTTCTTACCCCATTGACAAATATTCATTTCTTTTTGTAAGCATAAATGTAACAATTCTTATTGGAAAACAAGACAGATGTTTTTGCAGTGTATTTCGGTTTCAACAGCTGCTGCTACTAGTGTAAATGTCCATCTCCTCAAACCTTGAGTGGAAACGGTTTGCATCTAAAAGAGTCTGTCCTCTTGCGAAGCAGATTTGATGTGTTTGATGTCCTCAAGTTTTTGCTGACGTCCTTCCTTCTGTCTAACTCTGTCAACAGAATCACATCTCCTTCGCTGAGATCACGTGACCTTGAGTCGGCAGTGTGGCAGACACACTGGACATCCACGCTGTTTACCGTCCAGTCCCGATAGTCACGGCTCAACGCTAACACAGTGGTCATATTCTCTATGGTGTCGTTTTGGATCGCTCTGCCCTTGCTTTGTGTGTGTGGAAATCTTGGTCCTGTCTACTAATAACTGTTACCATCACGCAACTAATGACTGAAGCTTCACACTTCACATTTCCCAGACTGGCTCCGTTGGCTTTATTGTAGACCAAGCACTAGAGCTCAGAATATCTCAGTTGCTCACGTATATGGAGAGTGTGTGTGTGTGTGTCTGTGTTTATGGGATTTATGGCAGGTTGATGCGAATACCTACCTGTGGAATTAAAAATGGACTTAACTTGTATTTGTGGATATGTGTTATCTTCGTCTGCTTATATTTCAGAAAGTGTTTATTCCTATATGAATTTGTTTCTTTTTAGAGCTTGCATTGGATGAGTGAAAACATATGGAAGCCTGTTTCTGCCTCAGAGTAAAAAAAAAGGTAATTGTGACTTTATTTCTTGGAATTGTGACACTATATTTCACAATGTGACTTTTGGTAACACTCTATTTTGACTGACTCTAAGTAACTTTGATCTACATGTCAACTAACTTTCATTAGAGTAATAGTAGACTGTCTGCTTAATATCTGCTAACACTTTATTTTGATGGTCCGTCAACAGACATTCTACTGACTATGATAGTAACCCAAAAGCCTGGTTTATACTGGCACGAGTGAGAAGGTGCGCTCGGCAAATTATTAATTTTCTCATAATTGTGATTTTAATATCTCACAGTTGTGACTATTTCTCCTAATTGCAACATTATTTATCACAATTGTAATTATTTCTCCTAATTGCGACTATCTCACAACTTTTTTCAATTGTCACAATTGCAACTTTTACTAATAATTTAGATTTTGTCTCACAATATGAATTTATTTATCTTAATTGCAACTTAAAATCTCACAATTGCAACTTTATTTCTTAGAATTGTGATTTTTTTATCTCACAATTGCGACTTTATTTCACATAATTGCGGCTTTTCTCGAATTGTGACTTTATCTCACAACTACAGCTTTATATCTCATAATTGGGATTTTAATATCTGACTATTTCTTTTAATTGCAACATTATATTTCACAATTGTGACTATTCCTCGTAATTGCGACTATATCTCACAACATTTTTCTCAAATTGTGACTACTGTACATCACAATTGCAACTTTTACTCATATTGTGATATATAAAATATATCTGATGAGTTTATTTCTCTTAATTGCGTCTTTATTTATCTTAATTGTGATTTTATATCTCACATTGTGACTTTATTCTTGATAATTACCTATTTTATTTTTTACTCTGAGGCAGAATTTTGCTTCCATGTACATGCTTAAATACACTGTGTCCACAAAAATAAGGCAGAAAATAAGCTAAAAATACCCGTTGAAAGCTCACATTTAAAGAATACCAAAGCTCAGATAAATTCAAGTACTCACCTACTGTACTAGCAGCAAAAAAAGCAGTTCCAGATCCATTGGTTAGAGCCAAGTTATGAGCCAAGACTCAACTTTACCCAGTGGCCAATGCCATTCACAGTGAAGCTGTGTGCAAACCGTGATCACCCAGCTGTGAAAGACAGATCATCTGCTAAGACAATCATCAGCCATCTCACTAGAATAATGAGTCGGTCCATTAAAGCAGTGCTTGACATAATGATACTCGCATAGGCATTTGTTTCACACTGTTTTAATGGCCAGCAAACCTTTCATAGATGAACGATAATGTAAATGTTAAGGAAATAATGATTCAGAAAGCCTCCTTTTCTCCTGTGATCTTTAAAAACAAACCATGATACCTCATGTGTAAAGTTGTGGTTAAAAAATTAGTCACTTGCGTTATTTTATTTGGAAAAGATGCAGTTCTGCGCTTATTTATATTTCAGATCTCTGGCCCTGTGTTTCAGTCATGTCATGGTGCCGTTTAAAGGAATATTCTGGGTTATCTTTAGATTAATGTCTACATCTAGCATCGGTTTAATGCTGTTAATGACCACTAATTCAAGTTGTCCTTCAGTTTGTAAAAACGTGTTTAGAGTAATACACTTAAAATGGAGGCCTAGTAGGTATGTGGGCTGAAGCAGAAATGTTTAGCTCATTATTGGTTACGCATACAAATTCTTCAGTAAAAATGTGCTGTTTGAGCTGTAAAGTTGTCTAAGAAGATTTTTTGGGGTGGGATGTAGTTTTTTTTAGTTTGAGGAACTGGTTGTGTTTCTGAAGTAATTACTGTGGGTGTAGTTTGCAGGACTCTTGCTCCTCAATTTACACTGTAAGTATTTTACTGTATTACTTATTGAGATTATTCTGTGTGGTAATCGACACTACCGTTCATAAGTTTGGGGTCAGATTTTTATTTGATTATAATAAAATATTCTTTTATTCAGCAAGGATAAATTAAATTGTTTAAAAAGGGACAGTAAAAAAAACAACTAAAAAACATGTAAATTGTTACAAAACATTTCTGTTACAAATAAATGCTTTCCTGATTTTTTTTTTTTTATCACGGTTTCCACAAAACCATTAAGCGGCACAACTGTTTTAATAATCATTAGTAATAATCATTTCTTGAGGAGCAAATCAGCATATTAGAATGATTTCTGAAGGATCATGTGACACTGAAGACTGGAGTAATGATGCTGAAAATACAGCTTTGCATCACAGGAATAAATTATATCTAATAAAATATTAAATAATAACAGTTAATATACATGTATAAAAAATATATAATAAAAAAGGTTAATTTAAAATGTAATAATATTTCACAATATCACGGTTTTACTGTATTTTTGAACAAATAAATGCAGCCTTGGTGTGCATGAAATACTTTTTTCAAAAACTGAAAAAAAGAAACCTACAGACCCCAAATTTTTCAACGGCGGTATATGTTATCCACAGGGCCGGATTATGGTCCCACAAGCCCATAAAGTAACCCAGAAGATTCCTAAATATATGGTTCCCCTTGTCCTGCTGATGTGACCGATCCTTAAAAGAGCAATAATGTGTTTCTCCTTATCTTATTAGAAAATTCCTATTTGGCTTCCCCTCAAATGGTATGTATTTTTTATTTGTATTATTATATATACATATATTGGTGTGATAAATGGTATATATTCCTAAAGCACTAAAAACACAGAAGTCTGGGATAGCTGCACTTAAAAATGTAGAAAGAAAAAAAATGCATAATTTCTAAATGAAAGCGATCAGCGCCTGCAGCAGTATTAAAATGAAACATGGTGTGTACAGTGTAAATGCACATGACTGTAAATTTTGTCAGAGATTATCGATGTTTATTTTCTTATGTTTGTGCTGTACATGTATGTGTGGCTGGGGGTTTGTGGGTGTACGATGGCACACTGTAAGTACATATTGTACTGTATTTATCATTGACATTCTTTGATCTTAGCTGTAGTATCACACTGGTTTACTGTATACAAATGGATGTTTTTTTTAAGTGTTTGTATTTATTTTAAGTTCTATGTTTTATAGCTTGCGCAGACGTTTTGGTTGTTAAAAGATGTCCTTTCAACCTCAAAAGCTTTTTTTAACTTCTGATTCCTATATTTTCTCCTCCCATATCCCGCCTCGAAAATCATTCCTAAATGGTTTATTTGGATACTCTAGAATGGATTTACCACAAAATCAACGTGAATCCATGAATTCATGACCTTTTACACTGTAGAGACGATGAAAATTAAAGTTTGACTAAAAAAATATATTCTAAAGCCTGTGGTGTTTTTCTTTGGCCAGCACTTCACTGATGTGTACGGACTAGAAAGCAAAGGACGTCTTATATTGAACGCTCTCAGAAGCGTTTAAAGAGCCCTGTGGGATCTCTGGCCCCTGACTTCTGAAAAATTGCCTGGTTTGCTCTGGAGAACCTGTAAAATATGAGAGAAAGTGACGTGGTGTGGATGGGATTCGGTGTTCTTCGGCCATCCTGACTGATACCGAAAGTCCTGAGGAGCAACAAACAGACAAACAAGCAATCAGGAAAGATGGAGCGTTTTCACCAGCCCACATTTATTACTGTCACTCAATAGGGTTAAAGGGAACATCTCTTTCTCTCTCTTCTCTCCCCACATCATAAGGATTGATTCTTTTCCGAAGGGAAACACATTCTGCTGCACTGAGATTCCCTCCTTTTTTATATCTCCTGAAACCATTGGCGAACTGCCGGGAAACACGCCACATGGGCTTAGGAGAGTCTTTTATCTTTTGAGAGCTTATTTTAAAGGTAAATCTAATGCGGAAAATGTAATAAAGCAGGGCATGAAAATCACACTAATAAAGGTTCATTTGGCATGACTGGGGAATTGACTTGCTCTGGTCACTTTATGGTTCAGTAGTTCTTATTTGAACTTCATCAGGTTGTTTAAACTCAACATGAAATCAAAATTGATCCTATTGATATGTGTTCCTAGTCTATTTGTACTTGTTTTGTTAGTGCAAGTTATTCTAAAGAAAGAAAAAATGCTAAAAAGCTCTGCTGCTTAAAGAAATTTCCTTTTAGGCATGGAAAATAATAAACAATTTCCAAATAGCTTTTTTTTTAGGCTATACTGTTCAAGGTAATGTTGGTAGTATTCAATTCCCTATGGGTATAATTAAGTTTTTATTATAGTAATTGTATTTCATAATTCAATTCTATAATGGAGGCATTGAGTTTTCATTGTGCAATGCACTGATGCTTTTCTAACCATATTTCTACAGTTCAGCATGCCCTCCAAAAACCAATACCACAACACAAGAGCTTTATTTTTAGAGTCTAAATTGCTCCTGTAATACTTTGCAGCTAACAATAGCTACAAGTGCATGTCCCATTCATCTGGAATCAAATAGAGGCTGATTGTGTAACAAAATCATTCATTTCTGTTTACCACGAAACGGTCGATATCTTTCAAACAATCAATCCGCACTGCATGTTTCCCAGTGTGAACAAGCAGCCTTACTGTGTCACATTGTTTCGGTTTTCATTCAGTTCGCACAATTGGAAAAGTTTGGCCTTTGTGCTTTAAAGACGAGGCGTTCGAGTCAGGACATTGATTAACTGACGTGTCTGAGAAAGATGTGTACAGAAAACAAATTCGGGAATCTCAAAAGCAGCAAAGTCTTGCCCTTTAGACCAAAACAATCTTTTGTTTTAGAACATCAAAAAGCTTGTTTCTGTCACGGAATAAAAAATAGCCTAACATATCTCGCAATTCTGAATTTTTTTTACCTTGCAATTGCAAATTATAAACTCGTAATTGCGAGTTTACATCTCGCAATTCTGACTTTTTTCCACAGAATTATGAGTTTATGCTGCGTTCATGTTATGTCATAGGCTACTTAATACTAATTACAAAATGACAACGTGACGTTCTCTAAGCTGTTGGACTTGGAATTGTGCTTTTTTACGGCAAATCTATCAATGACAAAATGAATTTGCAGTGGTCAGGTGG